TCAAATTTATAAGAATACTAGTCATCTCCAACTGATAGTCAAAGGATATTAATAAGCAGTTTTCAGATGAAGAAATTAAAGTTATCTATAATCATATGAAAAAATGCTCTAAATCACTATTGATTACAGAAATGCAAATCAAAACAACTTTAAGGAACCACCGCATACCTATAATATTGACTAATAAGAGAGAAAAGGAAAACAATAAATGTTGGAGAAGATGTGGGGAAATTGGGATACTAAGGCATTGTTGGTAGAGTAGTAAACTGATACAACCATTCTGGAGAACAATCTGGAACTATGCCCAAAAGGCATACCCTTTGATCCAGCAATACCACTACCAGCTCTGTATATCAAAGGGATCATAAAAAAAGGGAAAAGGTCCCTTTTCCATATACCCAGCTCTTTATGTGGTAGCAAAGAATTGGAAATTAAGGGGATGCCCATCAATTGGGGGAATGGCTGAACAAGTTGTGGTATATGAATGTAATGGAATACTACTGTGCTATAAGAAATGATGAACTGGCAGATTTCAGAAAAGCCTAGGAAGACTTACGTGAACTGATGATGAGTAAAGTGAGCAGAACTAGGAGAACATTGTACACAGTAACAGCAACATTGTGCAATGATCAACTATGAATGATCACATACAATGATTCAAGACAATTACAAAAGACTCATGATGGGAAAATGTTATCCATATCCAGAGAAAGAACTATGAAGTCTGAGTGCAGATCAAAGCATACTATTTTCACTTTTTTGTTGTTTTTTGTTGTTGTTGTTGTTGTTTTTCTGGCTTTCCCTTTTTGTTCTGTTTCTTTCTCTATATATGTATCTATATATTAGATTTCTTGCCATCTTGGGGAGGGGGGATAGGAAGGGGGATGGGAGGGATGGTGGGAGAAAAAAATTTGGAACTCAAAGTTTTGTAAAAAATGAATGTTGAAAACTATCTTTACATGTAATTGGAAAAAATAAAATACTGTTTTTTTTTTTAAAGAAAGAAACATCAAAATCTACGTGAGGAAAAAGGCTGTTACAGGCAGGCACAATAACAGCAGAAATGTGACAGCCTGACAAGAAGAAAAAAAACCATAAAAGGCTGGCATGAAAACTCAAAAAAAGCAGTCTGGAGGTATTCAGCGTAGGGACAAATAGTCCCACAGTAGTTCATCAGTGCCTGTGTATTGAACATTATAGGAATGGATGTTCATATGACCCCAGATCATAAAAAGGTTAAATTAGGTCCAGTACCCACTAAAAAGGGAGGAAACATATGCAATACATTTAAGAAAGATTTCCTTCCAAAATAATTAGAACTAGGATTCTTGGTGCTTAATGAGGTTGGACACAGTTATCTTGGAAGCTCACTTATATAGAATAAATTGACCCATTTTCTGATAATGCTGGGAAGTTGAGGGCATCACTCTTCTTATGGAAATAGATATATTCTTCCTCTTTCTCAAAACAAAGAAAAGATCAACTGAGGGAAGCCCCAAACCTATAACTACATAGCATAATAACAAACATCAGCACTTAAAAAAATTTTTTTTTCTTTTTTTTTTTTTTGGCTAGGCAATGGGGTTAAGTGACTTGCCCAGGGTCACACAGCTAGTAAGTGTTATGTGTCTGAGGCCAAATTTGAACTGAGGTCCTCCTGAATCCAGGGTTGGTGATCTATCCACTGCGCCACCTAGCTGCCCCCATTAGCACTTTTAAACAATAAGGTTATTTTACTGAAGCCCCAGATAACTAACCTTTGGTACCTAAAAAACAAAAAAAAAACGCACACTAATAGTACATGCAATAGACATGGCACTGGGAGAAAACTATAGTGACATCATACTTAACTATATAGATGACATAACACATTAACATTTTGAAAATACATGCATATCCGCTGTATGTGTCTAACCAACAAAGCAAAGCTAGCTAGCTACAACAATAACATTATCAACAGGCATATATATATAATACAACTTAACTATAAGCATTAGTGTATACACAAAACAATTAACAGACATTGCTATGAATGACACAAAACATAGTCAAACATAACAGCAAAGGAAGAAACAAGCACACTCAAACATGCAGCAATTACATGTGTAGCAGTAAATATGCAATTATATGCATTTCACTTAGGTAATATCTAGCATTGTCCCCTAGAGACATGTGTAACTATATCTTCAGGTTTACCTGTAACATTACAATTTAGCCTGGTGGCTGATCTAATAGGTCTAATTTTCTTAGCATTGACTGATCTTAGGTATTATGCTGGAGTTGATATGGGCTGACAAGCAGGCCTTGTGTGTCTACACCTGGGCTGGCAGCCATATCAGGTTAGCTATCAATATGTTAGAGCTCTGTGGGTTTAATCTGTACCCATGGAGTCTCTGTAGAAGTTTTGGGCAGGAAAGACGTTGCCTTTGGGTTCCAATCTCCTGCCCTGTAATAATACGTGCTGTCTCTTTCACTGCATACATCATTTTAAGTAATTATACATGGGTCAGAAAGTCTTTGTACATCTGGTAGATGGTCTCTTTTTATCAGCTTTTTTCTAGATGGGTATCCATTAGTTCTCTTCCCCTTCTCATGAGAAAGTCCAAGCCCCTTCATTCTTTGGGACTACTTTTTTGAGGCAAGTTGCCCACTTTCTCAATAACTTTGAATTCATTAATTTTCCACTGGACAACTAACTTGTGAGTTCCTTCAATGCCAAAGTTTCTCAATAGAATTTTCTCTCCTCGTTGAAGGTCTTCACACTACTCTGCCATCATAACATTTTTTATTTCTGTCACAGATCTTCTGAGCTGAAGCTGTGGTTACTTGGTAGGCATCTCTCAGTTTCTCTTTCAATTGAAAGTTGTACTGAGTGTGAGTAGTTGCATCACTTCATTCACCTGAGGTACCAAAACACAAGTAAATAGACAGGTGTGATTCTTGCCCAAACATGAACAAGTATGATGTAAAGCCTGTAGCATCATTCGTGGTGGAATTGTTGACTCCACTGAGCCTTTTGTTATGGTCTCAATGTTTTTAACATATTCAACAATGTGTGCTTAAAACAGTCAAGCTGTGCATCTCAGAGGATGGCATTAGTCCTAAACTTTCTGATGCCTACCAAGGTCAACATTTCTTCAAGTAGCTTGCTCTCAAAGCCCGTACTCTGGTGAGAGAGGATCCTGGCAGGAAATTCATATATGTATTGAAAAACACTTTTCTCAAAACATTTTAGCAACAGTAGGTGCTTTTTAAATTTCTGATTGGTGAAATGGTCAGTCATTATGAGGCTATGAGTCATATTTTTACTATCTCCTTCTAGGGATTAAAAAAAAAAGCAATAGACCTGTTCCAAAGGCTTGTTGGTACTTACGTTCTCCAAATATGCAGACCAAGTTCCATACTTCTTGATGACATCTGCAGCCATCTTAGGCTAGTAAAACAGGTTTCTTACCAGCTTGAGGATTCTTTGTTGATCCATATGCCCAAAGTCATCATGTCAGGAATGCATGGTTATTGAGCAGTAAATTCTGGGTAGAACCCCATTCCATGTGTGGGATCAGTCACAGTTCAATACAGCATCCCACCGCACAGCTCCAACTTCTGCCATTGCCTCAGCAGCAAGTGCCTTCTCCTGTCTGGACTGTCAGGCAAGTACAATCATTACCCTGCTTTTTGGCTTGTATTACTTCTCTTAATCTTTCTCCAGCCATCTGGTCTTGCCTACAGTCATCTTTAGACAACTGTGGCAAGAAATATTGGCTCTATGTCACAAGATTTACATTTGCACTCCAGGCTGTCAGGTGTAAGTCCCATACTTTCAGCTATACTTCCACCCAGTTGGATTCCAGTAGCTTGAGTGTCACAGTCATCTAGACATAGAATGATGAAGATCTGTATTTGACTGATAGTAGAAATAAAGAAGAGAGGGAAGATTTGGAAGGTATTGTAGAAGCATAAGCACTAGGACTTAGTAACTGTTTAGGTGTGGAAAGTGAAGGGAAAATGAGTTAAAAACTAAACTGAGGTTTTGGCTGCTTGTATTTCATACAAGTATGTTATGCAAGAACGGTAAGCACAGTAGCAATATTCATTTCAATTCTGTACTCAACAGGTTGGTTGCCAGCATTAATCTGAGCTGAAATATTTTGCGACTTTCAGCTCCCAGAAGCCAAAGCTCAGACCACTTTAAGAATAAGACCGCTAGATGACAAGTAAGAGTGATGGACTCAAAGTCAGGAAGTCCTGAGTTTGAATCCAATCTCAGTCACTTACCGGCTGTGTGACTGTGGACGAGTCACTTGCCTTCTCTCAGTCTCACTTTCTTCTGTAAAATGGGGATAAATGGCACCTATTTCATGGTTTGTCAGTCAGTCAATAAATATTTATTATGTATTTACTATGTGCAAGGCACTGTGCCTTGTTGTGAGGAGCAAACAAGATAACATATGTAAAGTTCTTTGCAAACCTTAAAATGCCATATCTAGTTACTATTTTTTGTAATGTCAAGAGATTTAAAGGAATAGCTGTACCTTAAAGTAGATAGATATGCTTTGCCTTTATTTTATCTATTAGGAAGAGAGAAGGAAGGAAGGAAGGAAGGAAGGAAGGAAGGAAGGAAGGAAGGAAGGAAGGAAGGAAGGAAGGAAGGAAGGAAGGAAGGAAGGAAGGAAGGAAGGAAGGAAGGAAGGAAGAAAAAAGGGGGAAAGGGAAGAAGGAAGAAAGGAAATGAGGGAGAGAGGGAAGAAAAAAAAATGTTTGTCATTCACACAGCACAAGTAGTTGAGCTGGCCCACAATGACACAGTTTATTCACCAGAAAGAATTTGTTGCCATAGCTCCAGTGAAAGACAGGGCAGATTAAACAATGGCCAAAAAAAAAAAAGAATAATACAGCTTTAGGGGCCTGTCCCTGCACAACCATTCACTGTAGCCCCAGCATAACAGTAAAGCTATTGGGCAGAGCACTGCAAGTACAAATGAACCACATTATAGAAGACATTGAAGACTTTGGGTTAAAGTGTAGTACACACAACTTTGAGCTTCCCTTATTCACTGGTTTTTAACATTGATTGCTACTCTGAGCTCATCTTTAAGCTCTCTTTGGGCATACAAAGTGGGCATAAACTGTGGTCAGCTGCTTCCATACAAATGACAAGAATTTCATTGCTTGAAGCAGAGAAATCAAAAGAGTCCTGAGGAAGGGGAAGTAAACCAAGACCAAGGCTGTAAGAGAATCCAGCCGTGAAGATGGTGGGCTGCCAGGAATGCAGGACAGAAGAGGAGATGGGGAGCATTTACACCCCCAAAGTATCACGCAAGGTAATATAAATGCTTCTCTCATAATGTGGCTGCTTCTTTTTCTGAGAGACTATCAGAATAGTTTTTAAGTAAACAAACCAGTATTCTGTGAGTGAAAAAAGATAACATGCTTCATTGTTCTATCCGTCCTAAAAGTGAACTATTGCAGTAGTGTATTTAAGTTAGACACATGATAAAAGGAAAGCTAAACTCAGACCAACATTTCTTTCTGCACTTACTGCTATGTCTTAGCCTGATAGCAATAGAGAACTATTTTAATAAATGATTATTAATACATAAGATGAAAAAATGTCCTTGTTAAGGAGTACACAGAACTCTCACAAAGACACTTTCTTCATTCAGCGTCCAAGCTTTGGGGCTGCCAGAACCTAACAAGGAGGTTCTTCTTTTGATACGTAGAGGTACCATTTTTAAAATTGGACGCATTGAATCTCTCATTAGAATTTTGGTAGATATCTGGGGATAGGGAAGCCTTTCCATGCCCTTTAAATTCCTCTGAAAATATAGAAAGTCATCAATGCCCCTCATTCTGTAAAAGTCAGAGCCTAGTCATAGGCGTGCCAGATCTTCTACTTCCTGGCTTGGAGAAGAATAGAAATCAGGACTTCATTATAATGCTTTTGAAAAGTTGTTGACCTCTGGCTAATTACCGTCTCCTGCGTAAAGTCGATCTTAGTCCCTTAGACTACTAAGCACTTGAGTAAAATGATTGCTAGACCCTAAAAAGTTGAGCCATTCCTGTTAACTTCATTTCTTTCTTTAATTCCAGCGTGCTTGAATGTTGAAAGCTTATCATATGCTTTGGTAAAAGAATTAGGTAAAAGAGTATAGAGATTGCTGAGTACCATTGGGAAAAGTTTAACCTTTTTTGCTCCAGTGTCATAGGCATAAATTCTGGACACCAAGTAACTTTTTAAGAAAGAGACCCTATGCCTTTTCTAAATAGAGACCTCATCCCACCCCTTATTTCATGTCTTATTCTGCCAAAGCAGTTTTTATGATATTCTGTGCTTCATTTTATCTGTCAAATGGGGATGATAGATTATTATCAATCTACTTCATTCATTCAAGGCATTTTTATGCCTACTATGTGTAGAATGGAAGATAGAAAATACAAACCTTAATACAATCCCTACCCTCATGAAACTTATAGTCTAGTAGAGAGAGAAGTCAACAGACAAAATTAATTTACACAATACATTACATGATAATTAAAGAATTGAAAAAACAAAATGATGTGGAATATCCAAAAGTACCCCCAACCCCAACCAGAGGATCAAGGAAGGCAACATGGAAGAAGTGGCATTTGGATTTTAAAGGATGGGTAATGACAAGTTAAAGCAGTTGAAGGAAGACATAGAAAGGCACAGAAGCATCAGACCTCTTATTTTTTAAAGTAGTCTAGTAAGGCTGGAACTTAGGGTGTACAGTATGAATGAAGGCTGGCAAGATAAGCTGGAAAGCCTTGAATGACAGACAATGAAGTTTGAATTTCGTTTGGGAAGTAATAGGGAGTCACTGAAGAAATGGGATGAAAGTTGATTAAAACAATGCTTTTAAAATTCTGGTTGAAAATGACAGAAAACATCAGAGAATAGATAAGAGACAGCTGGTTTAAACTAGGGCTCATGAGATCCATTAAGAAGTAGCACACCTACACATTTTCAGATAAACATTTACTATATCTGTTGTTTCTATCATAGAGGTGCTTTATTTCACTAATTTTAAAAATGTTTCTGTCTCATTTTATTTTAGGATTGGGGTTGATTAACTTAGTTCTGTACTGCAAACAGTAGTCAATAATGGGATTGAACTAGATCAGGAGGTTTTCTCCCGGGATCCACAGACATCCAAGTGTTCAACGAGTAGATTAGAAGGGGTCAGTGAATTTAGATAGGAAAAAAATACATCTTAATTTCCACTAACTTCTAAATGAAATTTACCATTTCCTCCCATTATGAATTTTTTTCTAATATTCTGAGGTATCCATAGGTTTCATCAGACTACCAAAGAGGTCCATGATGCAAAAAAGGTTCAGAACCCCTGAACTACATAATCATTTTACCACTTCAACATTTTATGATTCTGAATTTTCTTTCTTATCATCTTCCTAATTTTATAGCACTTTATTTTACTGATTAAAAAATATTAAGCACTTACCGTATGCAGAGCACTATTCCAGATTCTGAGGGGTAAAAAGACAAAACACAAAAAGAGTCTCTGTCCTCAAGGAGCTTACACTATTTTATAATATATAACTAAGAAGCCCCAACACAGGGAACACAATGGCGTGATAATCAGGATTCTTGAGTGATTCCACCCCACCACAAGAAAGGTGATTTATTAATCTGATATAAATTATCCTATGTGAGTCTAGCTCAGGGGTGGGGACCTGTGGCCTCTAGGCTACATGTGGCCCTCTAGGTCCTCAAGTGTAGCCCTTTGACTGAATCCAAACTTCACAGAACAAACCCACTTAATAAAAAGGATTTGTTCTGTAACACTTGGACTCTGTCAAAAGTTGCACCCAAGAAAGCCACATGTGGTCTGGAGGCTGCAGGTTCCCCACCCGAGGTCTAGCTAATTATTTTTCCCTAGATATCAGTTAACCTCATTTTCTAAAAACTAGTGGTAAGAAATTCATGTAGTATGGAAAAATAATCTAAAATTATCTAGAGTAATGGTTTAGAGAGACAAAGGGAAAAACCACTATCAATTCAGGGAAGGAAACATGAAAGAGGTGGCATTTGGATTTTAAAGGACAGGTAGGATTTCAACAAATGAAGAGTTTGTGGGAAGGCATTTCAGGCACAAGAAACAATAGCACCAAAGGAGGAGAGCTACTGAGATGTTTTAAAGTAGTTTAATTACTCTGGAACATAGGGTGTATAGAGAAGTTTAGTTCTGGAATCACAAGACTCTTGCTATTAAAAAGTTCTTAATGTTCGTGTGATTTAAACTATGATTTTAGAAGTTCATTGGTTTGGTTTGGTTTTTATAACACACTCATTTCTAGATATTCCTCTGCCACCCTTACCACCCATAGAATCCTCTCTTGTGAGCAGAAAACTGGGAAAGAATTTTCACAACCAGTATCTCTGACGAAGGCCTCATTTCTAAAATACATAAAGAACTAAGTCAAATTTATGGGAATACAAGTCATTCCCCAATTGATAAATGGTCAAAGGATATGAACAGAAAATTTTCAGATGAAGAAATTAAAGCCATCTATAGTCACATGAAAAAATGCTCTAAACCACTATTGATTAGAGAGATGAAAATCAAAACAACTCTGAGGTACCACATCACACCTATCTGATTGGCCAACATGACAAAACAAGAAAATGATAAATGCTGGAGAAGATGTGGGAAAATTGGAACACTAACGCATTGTTGGTAGAGTCGTGAACTGATACAACCATTTTGGAGAGCAATTTGAAACTATGCCCATAGGGCTATAAAAATGTGCATAGCCTTTGACATAGCAATAGCACTTTTAGGGCTGTATCCCAAAGAGATCATACAAATGGGAAAGGACCCACATGCACAAAAATATTTATAGTAGCTCTTTATGTGGTGGCAAAGAACTGAAAATTGAGGGGATGCCCATCAATTGGGGAATGGCTGAACAAGTTGTGGTATATGAATGTAATGGAATACTATTGTGCTTTAAGAAATGATGAACAAGCAGACTTCAGAAAAACCTGGAAAGATTTGTATGGACTGATGCTGAGTAAAGTGAACAGAACCAGGAGAACATTGTACATCGTAACAGCCATGTTGTGTGATGACTAACTTTGATAGACTTAGCCCTTCTCAGCTATGCAAGGATCTAAGACATCTCCAAAAGACTCATGATGGAAAATGCTATCCACATCCAGAGAAAGTACGATGGAGTTTGAATATAGATCGAAGCATACTATTTACTCTTTCTTTTTCTTCAGATTTGTTTTGTTTCCTCTTTCTTGTGGTTCCTCCTATTAGTTCTAATTCTTCCTTACAACATGACTAATGTGAAAATATGTTTAATAGGAATGTATGTGTAGAGCCTATATCAGATTGCACAGTATCTTAGGGAGGGAGGAAGGAGGGAGAGGGAGAAAAATTTAAAACTCCAAAGCATATGGAAGTGATTGTTAAAAACTAAAAATAAATTATTTTTTAAAAAAAAGAAAAAAGAATATTGTGTTGTAACAAACAGGCAAAACCAATAACATGGTGACAAAGTCTGACTTTATACACAACATTTCATATACATGGTCCACCTCCTCTCTCCTGAGAAGAGAGGAATGTATTTCATCATCATCTATCCTTTTGGACCAAGATTGCTTATACCTTTTTGCAAGGTAGGAGGTGAAGGATGAGGTTGGGAGTGGAGTCCAGATTTGCAATTTCATAGGTAGAAAGAAGTCCTAGTGAAGAGTCCTTTTGCTGAGGCAAATCAGCTAGGGCTCTGCACCTCCAAATTTTAGAAAGGTGCCTGGGTCACTAAGAGATTAAGGAATTTTCTTAGTCACACAGTATGTATCTGACACAAGACTGGAATCCAGGTTTTCCTAATTCTCACCAGTCTTCTGACCACCATGATAAATGGTGTCTTATAGGACTCATATATCTTTATACAAATGAAATTACAAGTTCAGTCCCTATCTCTATTCCCTTTGGAGTGCTCAGAAAAACAAACTGGCAGTTGCACAACCTCTCTTTCCTCAGATTGCTCCCTGAATCGTCCCACAAGGATACAAAGAGCTGTGGAACAAGAGGCTGGCTAGCCCTGGGAAGGCTCTGTGAAAACGAGTTTTCCCCTGCTCTTCCTAGTGCCAGTCTGTAGGAGAGAAGCAGAACTGTTCTACTTCCTATTATTTTTCTGGTTTAGCTTTTAATGCCCCAGAACTAACTTCCACTTAAAGTGGGAACTGTTATAAAATTAAGCAATTTTGCTCTATTCCCACAATGGATCCATGTGTTGTAAAAATACCAGGACTCTCAATTCTTCGATC